CTTCTAAGTTGAGTTGACCCTTTGATGAGTAGTATTGAAAGCATGCAAATATTCATTGCATTTGCTCTTCTATCTTCTTAGTTCACTGTAGGATGAGATGCTATTGATGTCACACCCAATTCCCCTTATCCCAGCCTGGAATGTGGCCTGCAGAAGGTTCTCTGTGTCTCTTCACCTGAAGCCCTTTCTTGGCTATGGAAGCATGTTCAGCCTAGGTCCAACAAGTAGTTAACATCTCAGGGGTAACCCTCATCTTGATAACTGAAGGCCTGGTGGATGCATTCCCAGCTTCCTCACTTCTCAGTGGGATTCAGTGCGGTGGTCCACAGTACTAACCTGCTCATTAACACACTTTTTATCTGCTTTCTTCCCTTTCCTGTTTCATGCCTCCGTACCCTCACCCCACTCTCTGGGATCACCTCCCCACTTCAACCAAGATCCGTGCCTCAGGGATTTGCTTTTGGGGAAGCCGAAACAAAACATCTGGTGCCAGAAATGGCCCTAGAAAGTAGTCTCAGGATGAGACACTGGACTTGATGCTAGCCAGATGACAACAGGATCCCACTGCTGGTAGTAAGTGTAGTGGTGATAAGCCCTGTCACACTACTGGGTCAGTTACCTACACTCTCACCTGGGTATGGACTGGAATGAAAGAAGAGAAGACAGGCTCTGATTAGCCAATTATTACCTGAAGAGATGCCCTGACAACTAGAAAGCCCCCAGGTCTCTATTTAAAAGAACCCACATCTCCTATGTGCAGAAGCCAGAATGTACTGAGAATCCGGCCCATAATTGGATTACAATGGTGGTGCACATACAAAGGAGACCAAATTCACATGCCCAGAAAGTCTCCTTTGCTTAAGTCAGGGCCCTGATTGGGAAGGAGTGTGACTCTGAGATATGTGGGGCCCATTTGGGCAAATGCCCTCAACAACCTTGATACCCCAGATTCTTCTGAACCCTTGGGTCTAGCAGAAGTGGCTCACTCCCCTTTGCTAGAGGAGAGTAGCCTCCTATCACCTGGAAGCCATTCCAAGTCCTCTCTTGAAAGGAGACTGGCAAGATAACCTTGGTCTTCCTCAAGATCTGTCCCTACTTCCACTCCAATAAACAGGGCTGAATACCAACATGCCCTATGCAGAGAAATATTATCCTGCTTTGAGCAGAAGTGGATTATTCCCCCAAAAGAACAGAACCTGGACTGGCAGAAACTGGAAGAACATGTATGGTTATGGATCTTGAGGATGCTGGCCTAGTGGGAAGTAGAAAAGAAGTTGGATAAGGAAGAGTTTATTGACATAGAGACAGGCTTCTGTGACTCAGGATTTGGCATGTAAGAACACATGGAGCCAGTCCTGATACACTGCTGCAATGGGCCTTGGTGCTTGAGGATGATGGTATGCCAAAAACGAGGTGGAGATTCCACAAATGCTTAACAAGAGTGCTGAGGAGGGGTCAGAAGGCTCAGAGGGATGACATGCTAGAATGGATATAAGGCAAGAGAGCCCACCCATGGGCAGGGGTATTCCCTTCACTGAAACAATGAAGACTGCACTGGTAAGGGGACATTAGCATTGTTGAGAAGCTCAGTGGTGGCTGTCTTCTGTTGGCTAGAATGGACAATAGACGATCCTGGCACGTAACTGGGCTTCCTATCATAGGAAGGATTCCAGAACAAAAAAACTAATGTCTGCACTCAGACATTAGAGGAATAAAATGAATACAGTAACCTAATGGGCCGCAAGGCCAGAACAACAACCAGGGAGCCAAGGACAAGTGGCTAAGAGATTATGGTGCTCCTAGAGGTGAGATGAATGGGCAGTCAATGAAGTTACTGTTATAAAATCAAGCCAACTAAGCAAACAGCTGATGAGTAAAAGACTGACGTCAGCCACCACAGTGGAAAATCCTGATCTCTTATAGTTACCAGATCCAGTCAGTTCTCAGTTCCAGAGCCCATGGATTGAAGGAAAGGCTGGGTGTCCTGAGGAGGAGCCCTGGAGCACTATAGCAATCTTACACAATACACACTCTCTCAAATCTTTCCCAAAGAGCCCCATGGCCATTTCTCAGAGTAACTGTACACTGAGAAAGTAGAATATACACATCTTTCAAGAACTACTGAACACAGGGCCTGAGTGATATACCCAGAGGATCTAAAGCACCATCAGAGCCCTCATGTTAGAGTGGGACATATAGGATAGGCAATCTATAAAGTTCTGACCCAAGGCCATCTCAGGGTAGATCCAATAGGCCTGTGGGTCAATCCCCTGATCTCCCTTGCTTCTGAGAGGATAAATGGGATGAGTGTACTTAACTGAGAGACCCCAAAATTGGTTTCTTGACCTGAGGGATAAGAGCCATAATGGTAGAAAAGGCTTATTTAATGATCGAAAATGCTCTCTCCATCCCACCCCCTCCCCACTCCTGGTCACAATCAGAGGCAACACCATATCCCAGGAGTATTGACAGTGGTCCCCACAATATCCCATTTAATGGCTCCTGCAAAGCAAAACAGAGCAAAACACAGATAGATGGTGGAAGATGACAGTGGACTAACAGAAACCAAGAATTGGCAGAAGTAGCTCCAATGGCAGCTGCTGTGCTGGATGTAGTATCCCTTCAAGTCAGCACTTGTGTGAGGCTGGAGATCTGGTTAATGAATTCTTTTAAATCCCCCTCAGAAAAGAGAATCAAGAACAGGTTGAATTCACCTGGGTCAGATAACACAGCGTACATTCACGGTTTTGCTCCAGGAGCATATAAACCCTCCTGCTCTGTTACAGAACAGTCCAAAGAAGTCCTTGATCATCGTGACATTCTGCAGAACATCATCCTGGTCCAATACTTTGATGACAAAATGTTAGCTGGACTTGGTGAACAGGAATGAACTGGCAAATAATCTGAGTGTTCCTTATGACACATGCACCAGAGAGAAGGAAGTAATTCCTACAAAAATTCAGAGGCCAGATGTCCAGCAATCTAGGGAATACTGGGACATCCTGCCAAGTCAAGAACCAGTTACTGCATTTTGTACCTTCTACTACTAAGAGAGGCAAGCACTAGGGAGTATTATCTGGATTCTGAAGTCAGCATGTACAACACTTAGGAATATTGCTCTGACCATTTCTTGGGTCACTCAGAAGGCTGCAAGTTTTGAGTACACAGTCAGGAGGGCTTTGTACCTCTCTATGGTTCAGGCTGTAGTGTAGGGGTACCTCTTAGTGATATGTGGGGTAACAATAAATGGGGCATTTCAAACTACAGCAGGACAGGGGCAAAATGATCAGACATCTAAGAAAGGAAAGTCTAGGTCATCTCATGAGGCCAGCCATGCTGACCAGCAAAAGTGCTGGCTGAGGGTGAGAGGAATCTAGAATAAGTAGAAGAGGGAGATAATAAATGTTAATTACAGCTTCAGGACCAATACGCAACACAGAGGACTACACCCTGTCCCACTAACCTTTTAGTTGATGTTTTCCTTTTTGTATTCTTTGTTTTAAAAATATTGTGACCTGCCATTATCCTCGAGAGAAAGTGAACTTAACATGGGACACCAGGTGGTATAGTAGAGCGGGGTGGATGACTGGAGATGCTGGTGGTTACTTCAACATATCCCCTTCATTTATTCCCAGAGGTTTTCTTTTTTTTTTAATTGAGATATAACTCACATATAAAACTTATCATTTTAAAGTATACAATTCGGTGATCTTTAGCACAGTCGCAAAGTTGTACATCTATTACCACTATCTAATTCCAGAACATTTCATCCCCTCAAAATGAAATGCAGGACCCATTAACAGTCACTCCCCATCTACTCCCGAGTTTGCAAGCAGACAGTTCCCATGCTTGGCTTCTGGAGTCTCTGCCTGAGAGCATTCTCTGGTTATGAGGGTGAACTTGGTCCACATCCAGGCAGGCTGGACATCGCAAGGAATTAATACCTCAGAATCGACCCTCAACCAGTGAGGGATGGAAAGTGGTGGATAATATTCCCAGCTACTTTGTCCTTCAGTGCAATAATTCAGAGATGTTTTCCATACCATGTCTCAGAGGGTCCCCAGCAGGATTGGGTCTCAGTTGTTCATGGTGGTGACTCTTTCGATCTGTCTCAGTTCCTCAGTCTTCTGCAGGATTTCCTGAAATCACTTCCCAAATAAACTACCTGCACCCAAATCCTTGGGAAAACCTACCTAAGATTCTTTTCAAGAAGACTATCATGAGGTCTTTGTCAAGCACCTTGCCGAAATTCTGACATACTATATACCTCTCATGCTTTTAAAAAGACAAATGAGGCCAGGCGTGGTGGCTCACGCCTGTAATCCCAGCACTTTGGGAGGCTGAGGTGGGCGGATCATGAGGTCAGGAGATTGAAACCATCCTGGCTAACATGGTGAAACCCCGTCTCTACTAAAAATACAAAAAAATTAGCTGGGCGAGGTGGCGGGTGCCTGTAGTCCCAGCTACTCGGGTGGCTGAGGCAGGAGAATGGCTTGAACCCGGGAGGTGAAGCTTGTAGTGAGCCGAGATCACGCCACTGCACTCGAGCCTGGGCAACAGAGCAAGACTCTGTCTCAAAAAAAAAAAAAAGACAAATTAGTTTAGTCTGCCATATGTGATTTTTTTTTTTTTGAGACAGGGTCTCACTCTGTCACCCAAGCCTGGAGTGTAGTGATGTGATCATATGCTGCCATGCCCAGCTAATTTTAAAATTTTTTGTAGAGATGGGGTCTTGCGATATTGGCCAGGCTGGTTTTGACCTACTGGCCTCAAGCAATCTCCCTGCCTGGAACTCCCAAAGCGCTGTAATTACAGTTATGAGACACTGCAACTGGCCCTGCCATACCTGATTTCTTACTAGGGAGATCCATGCTGGCTCCTGGTGGTTGTTTCTTTTCCAAGTGCTCATGAAAATCCATTTAATAAGCTATTAGTTAATTTGACAGTAAGCCCATTGCTATTTTACAAAACTATACAGGATTTTCCAAGTTCCATTTTGCTTTGTCTAACAGTGGTTTTTCAATCTGTAAAAGTTAAAGGATGTATTATAGGTAAAAAAGAGAGGAAGTTATACTTCATATAATGTAAGAGATTGACTACTCTTCATCAATTCATGTTCTACAATAAGCAATGACAGCGACACGCTTACTTGATGGAGGAGCTGATGACACAATGCAAAAGACACCACAGCCCCCTACAAAAGCCTCCAAATCAGTTGTCACCAACCCACTCACCTCTATTCTCTTCAAGACAGAGGTTATTACCTTTAAGTATAATATTTCCCCTTTTTCCTAAGCAGTTTTGAAAATGGTTTGGTCAAAATATTCTTGTCTAAATACTACTGTTTTGTCTAAATGTGAAATATCATTTTGCTGAAATAGCTTTGCTTTCTGGAAGACTGGCTTACATGACCATTTACGTTTTGAATATCTAGTGGCAAAGCTTTGGAACACAGGCATTTACACATAAGCAGAGGGAAATCATTAATGCCAAATTTTTGCAACCAGTATATATCTAAAAGCACCAAGGGCTTAAAATTTAAGCATCTCTATAAATCTCTTTCAGTTAATCAGAATGGAAATAATTAACAGCAAAGGCTTTAGCAAATAAGATTACACAGTCAAGGTAGGGCAGTATTTTTCTTATGCTGAGTTTTATAAGACATAAGCAAATGATCATTTAAACATTTATTTAATATAGGTTAAAAATGTAATACATAAAAGAGAAAAAATGAACACTAAAATGTCAAACAGAAGAAAACCCTTTACATTTTATTTTGGTCAACAAAAAGTCTGTGCATAACTCAGCAGCAGGCCTGAATTATATTAAACCAAAGCTGCATTGTGATGGCCACCAATGTAGAGACTGCCTGTCTGGCTTAGCACATTAAAAGTCTAATCAAGGCTCAAACCAACATCCTTAGAAATTCCATATATATGAAAAAGACTTTCTTTCTCAGTTAAATGGGATAAACCTTAAAGTTGGAAAACTATTAAAAACAATAAAAATTTAAAACTGTAATTTTGCTAAGGGTATAGAGTAAATAACAACAATAACAACAACAAAAATGACAAACCGGAAACACTAAAATGTGTTTGCATGTGAAAGAATCATCATGTTGATTTACATCAAAGAACATCATATTTGTTTATCTTAATGCTTGGCATAGTTAGGTTTTAAGGTTTTAAAAATATTTTTGAATTTATTATTAAACGATAGGAACATACTGTACAGAATATTTCAAAATTGCTATCAAGAAAACGAGTACAAATTTTACCTAGCAATATAGATTTCTTATCAACATATCTTTTTTCCTCACTGGTATCAAACTGACAAAGGTGTAGGGAGAAAGTAACTGAATGGTTTCTGAAGGACACACTAGCCCTTTAGCCAAGAGTTCTGCTTCTGAATTATATAGAACATCTTGGTCCACAGACAACGGAATGGATTTTTGGAGAGAGTGTCAATTTAGGGCTAAAGAAATACAGGGTGAGAATGAAGCCCTCAACAAAAGCTCCAAAAGGGCACAGACACTGGTAAATGACCTAAATATGGAGAGAGAGGTGAGGAGAAAATACATAGTAAATGCTGGCTTGTTATTGCATTTTCTTCTCTCCCTTCTCTGATCCATTCATCTTCTTAAGACTGCCTTCTGTGTCCTTTTGCAGGGAAATTATCTTACCCTTTAACATTTGTTTCTTCACTATTTTAACAAAAAGCCTATAAGAAAAATAATAAATTCAAGGGTATTACTAAAAGCCTAAATAAAAATAATAACAAGCGCTATGCTCCAATCAGTAAACTCGTTTCTTGGAATAAAATCTTCATTTGTGGAAGTGGAATGATGTCTCTTAGTAGACAGTGTTCATTTAGGGTGTGATACTCTTACTTTCAGAAGCAGGAAAAATTACTAAATATTAATCTGTGAAAAGTAAGGACTTTCCTTCTGAGGGATTATTGCTTTATGGACTTGACTTTGTTTCTCCTTACAGTATGTCACTGCCTTACACAACTGTGGATATGATGCCCAGTTTCTAATGATTTGTCCAAAATCGTCTGAGAAAACCAGGCCAATACAAATACAGTAAAACCTCTTGAAAACACAATTAATTATTATAGATCCACATAAATAAAGTCCAATCTGAAGTCTGATAGGTGATTTTATGTTGACTATGTCTTTTAAAAAGTGTTCTTTTTTAACATAAAATGTAAAATAGCATTCTGGAAACAAGTATAAATATTACATTTATTCTGAGTCCAGATACTTTCTGAACTGTAGAAGTGCAGGATGGACTTGACTTATCCATTAGTAATACAGACTCACGAAATGTTATGCTGCAAAAAACGCTGAATCTCCTCTGATAAATGGTCTTTAAGATGGAGAGACTGAGGAAGTTAACTGAATGTTCATGTTCACTGCTGTAAATTTTCCTTATAATTGGTAAACGCTACCCATAATAGATAGAATTCACATTTTCAATGAATTCATAGTTTATCATCAGATACAGTAAATGAATTAAGATTTCATTTTTAAAAATAAAGAGAGATATTTATTTGTAATAACTATCTTTTTTTTGGTAATAACTATCTTTAATAATGCTATTATTTTTTTTTACCCATGGGGAATGCATAAGTACAAACACTGTTAGCTTCTTTAACATTTATTAAAAAGGTAGACTCTTAATGCAGAAGGATAAGCCTCTTTCTTCCCACTCTAAAAATCTCTTCTTTGCTGTAAAGAATTCTCGGTGCATGCGAGCTAAGACTCTGGAGCACTCAGTAGAGAGGCATGTGGGATAACCAGACAGAATCACTAGGTTTTCTCTGTTTTCAATTAGCTGAAAATAGGAGCTCTAGTTCTAAATATTAGAAGTCTAAATATTAGAAAAATAAGGAGAGGGGATATGACAAAATGCTTCAAAATACATGCCTGAGGTGAGACTGCTTGTATGTTTGTGTGTGGCAGCTTCCAGATGAAATCTTCAGTTTTAATCTTCAGGTTCATATCTGGAGATATAAATTAAGAACACAATGTCAGGATACCTTTTGTTGTTGTTATTACCAAATAAGTTTACTTGAAGCAGTGGCACTGTATTTCTCACTTCAAATTACTGCTATGATAGAAGTTGGACATATTCAACTTTGTTTTGATGGTGACTCAGAGGGGATTTTTACATCAGGTAGGAGGATAGGCCAGATCACTGCTAAGACTCCAAGTCTCTATATTTGGCATTTAGACCTGCGATAACTTCGTATAATTACCTCAATCATCATATTGACAAGAATAGTTGATATGACTATATGAGTAAAGGTCTAGCAAATCTACTTCTCTAGGACAAATCTCACCTTGAATTCCCTTTCTAGCTCTGCTCCCCTGGAACTCTGATAAAGGTAAATGTCAACTCAGTTTCCAGGCAAAACATCTGATGACCACATCTGGACCTGGAGGACTATGAATAACTATAAATACGAGGTAGGAGCCACCCCTTTAGGTTTCCTCCTGTGCGTTAAGTTCTTTTAACTGGACATACCCTTAACTGGGCATCATGTGACTGCTACAAGAGATGCTAAGCCTATGTAGAACACGGACTTCTAAGCTGGCTATGACACCCATCTGCAAAAATCTCACTCTCTCCAACTTAAACTGTCACTTAGGGGAACAGTAAGACCAGTTCTTGGACTGCTTAGAGTATACCACTGAGGAGAAGAGAACTGCCTAATACTGCCCTGTGAGCTTGCTGTGTTTCCTGTCTGACATCCTGCTAAGTGGATCCATTGCCAAGAGGAGCTTACTGTAGGCCTGTGTGAGTCTAAAGGCCTAGATGAACCTAAAAAGAAGCCCTGGTGGGCATTATAGATAAGGTCAGGCTGGAGCTCCTCCAGTTTCCGTAAATGAAGGCTTCTGGACTAAATGATCCAGCAACTACCACCAGCTTGACTTCTCTGGAACAAGCTTAGATTTAACAGAGAACAAACATCAATCCAGAGAGAGAAATCCAAAGTGGGATCAGTGTGGCTTACTGTGCCAGTCTTTTCCTCAGATCTTTGATTTGGTCATTCTTCTTGGTAAGAATCTCTTTCATGTTTCGATAAGCTGCTGTTTGCTGAAATTTCTTTTCCAATTCCTGCTTAGTAAAAAATGTCAGCCCATTACTAAAAAAACAGTTAAGGAAAGAGATAACAAATGTGATAAAAATATGTAGTTTTTTTTGCTTGAATTTTACTAATATTTTGCTAATGATTTTCTAATTTCCTTAAAAGACACATTTATATAAAATTAAGACTACCCAAAGTTTAAAAATATATTCTTTCAAATGAGAAGCCATAAAATAGTAACATTTTCCCAAGTACAGTGTTGGTAAATAACTCAAGGCCTGGATATGAGAAATCTATTTGAAACATTACACTAATTTTCCAGTAAAATAAGCACACTTTTTTCCCAAGTCCCAAAGTACTGTATTTTAGCAAAAGGATTTTTAATTTAAATTTTAGTTCCCATATTCTTTTTTCCATTTTTTATATGAACAAATTTTTAATTTCTTTATAGAGAAATTGCTATGTTGGCTAGGCTGGTCTCAAATTCCTGGCCTCAAGCAATCCTCCCATCTTGGCCTCCCAAAGTGCTGGGATTACAGGCATATTCTTAAGAGTCTAATCCCCAAAGTGAAGAATCTAGCTCTCTACATATTTTATATAAATTATGACGAAAGTATACAAATCCTTAAAAAAAAACCAGTCCCCCATCCCTCTGCAGGCTGTGGGAAGAAGGAGCAGAAGAGCAACACGGTTGGATGTAGGGCAGGATTCAAGCCACCTACAGAGGAGCATTTCACCACGCCATAGAGGGAGAGGAGATATCTTATTATCACAGATATTTTAGTACCAAAGATGGAAGAATATCAGTGCCTGGAAATGATTAATCTTTAGAACATATTGGCTAATATCTTGAGAAAAAATAATCTGAATTTGCAGCTGTCCAATGTTTACCTTAGTCACATGTATTCCTCTCTACTGTGTGCATCAGTTAATTGGACATTAACAGACAAATCCCTTAAACATGGTCTTCTGACCTTTTCAGCCATGTGCAGCTGCTCTTGAACCCTGAGTAGGTCGTGCTTGGCTGTTGCCAGATTCTCCTCCAGTGACTTCTGGTTTTCTGTCTTGTCATTAAGTGTCTTCTGAAACTCACTCTTTAAAGCAGCGACAGTGTTTTCCAAGTTACTCAAGTCTTGGGCCTTTATAAAATCCTATGAAAAATAAATGCATGCATGTAATTTCATGTTGATATTCTAAAAATAACTATTTTAGAATGGTGATTCAACATCAAAGGAGATGAAAAAAATGCTCTATGTTGTGTGTGCATGTCAGCCCCCCTTGCCAGCCTAGGTAAGTGCCAGCCCCTGCAGAGTCACCAGCAGGCCAGTCCACTGTCAGCCCCGGGTGTGTGGTGTCTTGCACACAGCTGACACTCAGTAGCCACTGAATTCCAAATACATAAAATATGATGTGTGAACTGCTGGTATTTCAATCCAAGATGTGTGTACCAGGGTTGAGATGGCAAATAGGTTTCATTTTGAAAAGCCAAGTTTAAAAAAATCCTTAAAGAAGTCTGAATTCTAAAAAATGATAGAATATAATTTATACCAAAAACTTAATAGACATACGTTTTAGTCATTATTTACAAGAAAATAATATGAGAGCCCAATTACTGATTACATGATTTTCTAAATTTTTAAGATTTTAAGTTTTTTATATTAATATGTACATTTTTGCATACTTTTGACAACTACAGCATAAGACAAGCACTGGATCTTCTCTCTTCCCGGATCTTGTTTTTGACTGGGTAAGATTCACGACAGAAAAAACATTTGTATTGATAAGACAGTAAAATCATCTACAATTGGTTAATATGTGGATGAAGAAATACTTAGTACTTTCGGCCAGGAGCAGTAGCTCATGCCTGTAATTCCAATACTTTAGGAGACCAAGGGAGGAGGACTGCTTGAGCCCAGGAAATTGAGACCAGCCTGTGCAACAAAGCAAGACCCCATCTCTACAAAAAATATAAAAAATTAGCTAGGCATGGTGGCACATGCCTGTGGTCCCAACCACTTGGGAGGCTGAGGGGGAGGATCGCTTGAGCCTGTGAGGTCAAGGTTGTAGTGAGCCATGGTTGCACCACCACACTCCAGCCTGGGTGACAGAATAAGGCCCTATCTCCAAAAAAAAAAAAGTACTTTCAACAAAAGAAAAAAAAAATCTTTCCTCATTTTCGAAACCTGGTCTTTGAAAAAAAGATTTTATTTCATTGCAACTAATAAAAGCATGTATTCACTGGTTGTTCTTGTGTCCAAAATCTTATAGTAAAGTTGGAGCAAAGCCCCAAAAAGCTTTTAAACAAATTCATCATCCAAATGTGTTTGCAATTGTTTGACTTATGAGGAATTATAAAGCTGTTCTGGAACATTCGTGTTTTTATAAATCTATTGTCCTTGGCATATAATGGTTGAAAATCATTAGCTATATAAGAAGTATCCTCCTATTTTAAAAATATCTAGATAAAATGGTTCAATGTCTGAGATTTGCTTCAAAAAATCATGGCGGGTGGGAAGAAGAAAGAGGTACAAATGAAACCAGACTCGCCATGCATTGGTAACCGCTAAATAGAATGATGAGTGCATGGGGGTTCACGATACTATTCTCTCTACTTTTGCGTATGTTTGAAATTTTTCAGAGAAAAGATTAGCAAAAGCCCAGTGAAGCAGATTTTGAGATTGTTTACCAGACATTTGCAATGAGAGTATGACCACTAGAAAAGCCAGTGCTGCACTGAATATTTACCCAAATGGTCCTGCTCATAGGAAATCATACTGTAGCATGCACACTCAACAGAAAGGCCACAGGAGACACTGTACATACAATGACTTCCCGCAGGCAGAGTGACATTCAGTCATTACATTCAGACAAGCGTGAAGAACTACAACACTGGATTTCATTGTACTCTATATTGCCGGTGGGTACAGATGCATCTGCAGATTCATAATCATTTTGTCACATTTATCAAAGGCAAACTTAAGTAATGTTCAGTATAATAAAACCCAAATATAAACCAATTAAAAACTTTTCTTCATTTCCTTTCCCCTCCACTGTAATTGGATGTCAACGTGAAAGGGGAAAACTTAAAAAAAGAATAAAAAAAGAATATCATGTAGGCCAAGAAAACTGCAGGAAATGGCGAGGACATCTTGCATGCTAGGGAAACTGCAGATGTGTGAGCTATGTACTGTCCCCTCTGCCCTGGAGGATACAGAGGGAAGGCCACTGGTTCTCACCAGGCCTTTCGGGGGCAAGGATGTCCCAACACAGGAAAATAGAGGCATTCGTCTCAGGGAGTGGCAAGGGGTGGGGTACAGTGAGCAGTAACTAAGACTTAATTTTAAGTTTATAACTTCATTCTACTTAGAAAATGTGAAAAAGATAGCTAAAACTTGTTTCACCTTTTGATTTCCTTGATCAAGCTGTAAATCTTGCAGTGCTTTTTCTAGTTTTGACTTTTCATCCAGTGCACTTGTAGCCTATAGTGAAGTTTAAACAAAACACTTTCAGTATTTAGTCTGTAGGCAGTTCAATAATTGTGTCAAAACATTTCTCAGGTACCTGTATTTCAATGGTCTTCAACCTTGACTTCAATTTCTCATTCTCTTCTTGAAGTCTTAAAATTTCCTTGTGAGTAAATTCAAGTTTTATTATATCAACCAAAATATTTTAATATTTGAAATTATTACTTGTTTCACTTAAAAATCTAATTTTAAAATTTAATTTAAATTACATAATAGCTCAAAAATGCACTACTGATATTTTGGTAATATCCCAATTTCATCCAGCCTATCAGCCTCACTATCTGTGAGTCAGCTTTGGCTCTAAGACATCTAGTTTCTTTTCTTTCAGTTTCTCAGACACATCTTTCCTCTTTTAGTCCTCTGTTTTCAGGTCTTTTCCAAAGACCCCCTTCCCTGCTATCTCTCTCCCAGTTGGTCCTGCAAATCCTGGGTCTATTCTCTGCCTACACTGCACACTGTTGACCCTTATCCTGAGAACTCCATCATTTCAATACCATGCTCAAGCCCACAGATGCTTCTGACTGAGTTGAGGCCAACACCTTTGCTCTTATACAGCTCAAACATTCGAATCACCTGTGTTATTTTTCACTAGGCTCCAACAAACACATCAGCCCACACAGCACTGCACTCTGTTCCAAGTCATGCTGCCTCCTACCTGACCACTGCCTGTTCTGTTCTCCTGCCCAACACACTCATTTCTCCTTCCTCTACAATTTAATTGGTCTTCACCCTTCAAGGCCCAGCTTAGGTATTCCCTTAGCCAAGAGTCTGTTCTCACCTACTCTCATCCGCATACAACTGAATCTTCTCTGCTACCCAGTGTGACACCTGTAGCACACAGGAGAGGATTCTCTGGTCTCTATTTCTAGAACATCGGTTCTACTTTCCCAATAAAACTATTACATTTTTGGCCAGGCGCAGTGGCTCATGCCTGTAATCCCAGCACTTTGGGAGGTTGAGACAGGCGGATCACAAGGTCAGGAGATTGAGACCATCCTGGCTAACACGGTGAAACCCCATCTCTACTAAAATACAAAAAATTAGCCAGGCATGGTGGTGGGTGCTACTTGGAGGCTGAAGCAGAAGAATGGCGTGAATGTGGGAGGCAGAGCTTGCAGTAAGCCTCGATTGCACCACTGCACTCCAGCCTGGGTGACGGAACAAGACTCTCGCAAAAAAAAAAAAAAAAAAAAAATTACATTTTTGAGGGCAAGGGAGCATGTATTACACTGCTTTTTATCTCCAATAACATCTAGCATAATGTTGAGAATACAAGGGTCATGCAAAATAGCTGAAATCTGAAATGCTTCAAAATCAGAAACTTTCTGAGTGCTGACATGATACTCAAAGAAAATGCTCATTGGAGCATTTCAGATTTCAGATTTTTGGATTTGGGATGCTCAACTAGGGTCTGTATAATGCAAATATTAAAAAATCTGAAATCCAAAACACTTCTGGTGCCAAGGATAAGGGATACTCAACCTGTGCTGATAATTTTGTTTGTTTGTTTGAGATGGAGTCTCACTCTATCGCCCAGGCTGGAGTGCAGTGGTGTGATCTCAGCTCACTGCAACCTCTGCCACCTGGGTTCAAGTAATTCTCCTGCCTCAGCCTCCCAAGTAGCTGTGACTACAGGCGCATACCACCACACCCAGCTAATTGATAAATAATTTTTAGAAACTTAAAAACCCTTCTCCTTGTTACTGTAGATCACAAACTTTAAATGTCCATCAATAAACGCTGTCCAAAATTTCATGCTCTTCACTTTACCTTGAAAAGGTGTGATCAGGAGCTACTTCAGGCTCTCTAGAAGGTTAAGTATGCCCTCTTCTGGCCCATGGGGTACCATCAAGTAAAACTACTGTAATGGACTATTTATCCTCAGAGGACCTGAATCAAACCCTCCACTTCTGTTTCTCTACCCTAGGCAATGAGAGGACAGAATTAGAGGCTTTCCATTTCTCCAAATAATAACATTACCTTGTTTAGGAGTTCTGCTGTTCCACCTTCATTAAGTGGAGCAAGTTTTGGCTTTGTGATATCTAAGATGGGCTGAAACAAAATAAAGAAACCAAACTGAAATCACCACAGAATAAAGCATGTATAATCACTGAACACTTGCACTTTGCAAGTGGAAAATACTATATATAAACATACCCATTGGGATGTCAGTTCCATAGGTGTAGAGATTTTTGTTGGTTTCATCCTTTTTTATTCCCAGTGCCTAGGATATGTCTGTCCTACAGTGCCCAACACATGTTAGAGATAAAAATAAAACCTATCTTCCCTGTATCTTTTAAAAAATATAGATAGAAGGAAAATGAGGGAAGAAAGGAGGAAAGGAAGGAGCTCAAAGCCAGATCTGATATAGAGCCTAGCATCTAGGAACTAGAATTTTAACTTGTGGGAGTTGAAACAGTGATTTCTACATGAACCTTAGACTCTGTGAAAAACAATAATATTGATGAAGATCTAGGCAAGTATACTACAGATAAACAATAACTTGGCACAAACAATACAGTAGTTTAGTAATATGTATTAAAAATAAAATAATTCATGCCCTCTGATCCAGAAATTTATTAGCCAGAAATATGACCCAAAGGAATAACAGGAAAGTGTTTTGCATGTGTATGTACATAGATTCATCTCAGCGTATTTACCCAACAATGGAGTATTTACGGTGTGTCTGTGAAATGAATGGTAAACGGTCACTCCAATTAATGAGAAGGATTAGAAAGAGAAGTAGATAACTACTAGTATTGTCTCCCTTTCTCAGATGAGTAAAATGAAGCTCAGCTACCTCAGATAACCTGCTCAAGGTAACACAGCCAGGAAGTCAGTGCCAGGATGTGTACCCATGTGTGGCTGACCCTAGATAGAGCCTGTGCTCTGCATCTTCTGAGTAGAGTATTTATAAGTGGGATTGAGACTGAACTCAGGGATTACGTGTATGTGTAGGCCATCACAGACAAGAGCAGTTTTTCATAGTTACTTCCAAAACATTTTTTCTTTTGCCTGAAAATATGAGAGACAATTTTTGAATTTTACTCTTGAATTGAATGCTTTTCCTTAAGAGTTCTCAGTTTTGATCTCTGAATTCTTTGAGTGACTTGAGGATTTTAAATACTGGCTATTAAGATACGGATTTAGAATGACCAAAAAGTTACCTTTTTGTTTGAAGACGTAATCTCTGCTTTTTCAAATTCTGCAACTTGTTCTAATAATTCTCTTGAAGATGAAAGATAAAAATTATTCATTTAAAATAGTTTTATACCACACACAAGAAGAGTAAAATCACTGGTACCAACCCATTACATGCCAGAGAGAACAGAGCAAGGTGGACCAAACTTCACCATATCCAAAATGTTAGTTGCAAATGGTTGAGAACCTAAACCGCATGGACTCAAATGTAATCATCCACAGCACCTGGCACTTTGCACCTACTAGGTATGCAATATCTACTGCTAGAAATAAACTACAATGCTAATACAAACATGAGGGAAATTTATAGTCAACTTTGTATTCTTGAGGTGCTATGAGGAGATTGTTTTATTACATAACATGTGTTGTTAGTAGGTGTTCAAAAAACACAAACTGATTCTTAATAAAGTAGCCTCAGAAAAATGAAAATAGTCCATAGTAACTACTGAAAAAGAGTATCACAAATTCCTAGGAAAGACAGATAGTGGAGCTGTGCCATCTGAAGATTTGCAAAGGCCAATGAGAAGTGACTATACACAAGCTTAAAGCGTTAACAGCAGTCAGCTTCTAAGCTTCCTAAAGCACCCCCTTCTCAGAGTTTTCTCACCAGTCACCTACTGACAGTGGCAGAAGTTCAGTGATTTTCCTCCCCTGCTCACAGGTTGTCCTCAGCATTTTTCAGCACTCTGCACGTGAACTGATGTGCTGTGACTGTGCTCAGAGTAGTTCACGGGGCTTGGTGGTCAGTCCTTCCTGATTTCTGGCATGCCTTTTCTTAAAATGAGTTTCAATTTCACCAGTTTTACCATATTTTTTGAATTTGAGCTCTTGATGTCCATATTATAAGCTTTTTTTGTATTTTATATTTCCTATTTTAAAGTTAATAAATGTATACTTTTAAATTCAATTATTTAGAAAACTTCCAATGCTACTGGATTGAATTGATGGTATTTATTGTATTTGAACTGACTTTTCAACTGCCTCATAATCTTTATTTCTTAGTTGACCAATCTATAAAGACAGATGGTAATACTGACCAAGCTAATAAAAATGCAGTAAAAAATAATTAATGATAGCCTGAAAAGCAATTTCATAAACCTCAATGGCCTTTGTAATACCTAGGAACAGTAGAAACAAAGAACTTTTAAAAGGACGCTTAGTGGTACCCAAGAGATCACTCAGTGACTCAATGCTTTGCTGTTACCCTACCCAAATTTTCTCACACACCAGCCCCAAGAAAATATGCAGCAAAGATATTCACTAACTTTTAAGATCATGCTTGGGCCACTACTGTCACAGTTGCAAGTTCAACTTTTATTACCGGTTTTCAAGTTCAGAGATGTCTGTCTGTAGCTTAAGATACCACTTCTCAGCTTGTGCAAACAGCTGTCGCAGAAGTAACACATTGGTATAGGCAGTGTTGATGAGCTCAGATTCCACCTCGCTATGAACCACAGCTTGCAATCCATTGAGAACTTCAGAGACTTCATCTATGGTGAAGGTCTCCTCCACCAGCCTGAAAAACAACCATGATCCAAAACTTATGGATAAACAACAAAAAAAATCTACAAAATACAACAAAATTAAGAAACCCACATTCATGCAATCTAAGAAATTCAAAGATTACAGTGAAAATCTCTCTGGGAACTATCTTCTTTATTAATAAACGTTGAAAATAATTTAAACTCAATTAATTTTTGACATCTATTCAAATGATTAAATTGTGCACATCCTTTAATACAAGTAAATGCTCAAACACATTCCCCAAACCATCATCTACTTTTTTCTTTAACTTTTTAGTATTAAATGTCTTATTTCAAACTCCACTGAAATCAGTCTTATTACATTTAATAATTTCAAAAGTAACCTGGAAGGCATAGTCTTATTTCTTTCTAATATTTCTCTAGCATTTTAGTAACTGTATGAACTATTCACAGGTTAGTAAATGTCTATGGGAAATAAATGGTAATTATATATTGCTCCTCTTTGCATTCTTGAGACCCAAAATAATAATAATAATAATAATAATAGTAATAATAAACTAGCTTATCTTAAAGTTCCAGTGAACACTCCACAAAAATGAGTATCATCATCAACAACAGCATTAGAAATCTACTCTAAGGGCAAGGCATGGTGGCTCACACCTATAATCCCAGCACTTTGGGAGGCAGAGGCAGGTGGATCACTTGAGGTCAGGAGTTCGAGACCAACGTGGCCAACACAGCAAAAACTCTTCTCTACTAAAAATACAAAAAATTACCTGGGTATGGTGGTACGTGCCTATAATCTTAGCTACTTGGGAGGCTGAGGCAGGAGAATTGCTTGAAACCAGAAGGTGGAGGTTGCAGTGAGCCGACATTGTGCCACCGCACTCCAGCCTGGGCGACAGAGCGAGACTCCGTCTCAAAAAAAAAACAAAAAACAACTACTCTCACATAGAGAATGCTTGGGTTGGAAGAGAACTTTGGTGCCATCTTCTACAATCCCCTAACTTTACAGATAGGAACACAGGTTTGAAGAGTGGAGGTGACTTGCCTATGGTCACATTGGTGGTGATAAACCCCACAATCATCTTCAACAATGGTGCTGGGCAAAGGATTCATGCCCAACAGCTGAATCCTTGAAAAAGCTTCCGTGTGTGCCTTCTAGTTTCAATGACAGTATCACAGTAACACAGTCCTCTCCTCTCCCTACCTCTACCCTCCAAAGTCCCTTCTCCCTCAGACTCTCAGCAGATGAAGGGCAACTACCCCAACCTCAGCTTTATTTTCTTCCTACTTCCAAAAAGACATCATCAAGCAAGACCCAGTTACACTAAAGCATTATCAGAGTTAAACTTAATAGTATTTGTTTTATAATTCTTTAATGTTTCATCTAGCCAGCAGAATTTAGTCCTTCTGAAAAAACCAGAACATTTTTTTACAAAAATCTTTATTAAAATATTAATAATCTTTCTATATTCTTTAATAGAACATATGTTCTTGCCAATTAAATTGTTGCTTTCATCTGCTGGGGGTTAGGAAACCAGATTACCAGATGAGTTTAATGGGCTGAATGGTCTAAGGCTGATGGCCTCTAATACTGACACATTCATGGTTTTATGGCAGCTGGAGCTCACTTGGAGGTCTTTTTCACTTATGTCTGACATGACATTCATCTCTTGCTAAAAATCAACTATGGTCCAACCATTATTATCTCATGCTAGAAATCAACTAACAATTTTGGTACTAGTCAGCATTATGATTTCCTGCTGTTTTCCTCTCTCTTAATTATTCAGTATGAAACACAGACGTGTTTTCTCACTAATTTCCATGTCTTAGAGCTCTAACCATTTAATTAATAACTCAAGTAATTAAAGTTCTGGAATCTTTAATACAACCAGCCAATCATTAATCCACAAACTCTTGGCAACTTCCTGACTACCCTTCTGAAGCTCTGGAATCCTGTAATTATCACATGCATTTCTGATAATAGATTCATTGCTTCCACCACCATACAACTTCTTTTGTTTCCTGTATCCATGAGGCTTAGTATAGCTGCTGTTAGCAAATAATTGATCATGATGAATCCCAGAAATTGACTGACATCTGCTATGGCACCCCCATACTGGCTACCAGAAAGAATCCATGTTCCTATTTGGTTTGCTTAGAGTCCTCCTCTGATACCTGCTCTCCTTGAGGTCTTGGAAGCAGGAATCTACAGTTTTGAGTCTCAAGCCTCTCTTTGAACGAGCAAAACGCATATAATTAATAACTTCATTTTGATGGTGCTCATTTAGGCCCAACTCTGCCTGAAAAAGAAAGAGGTAATTTAATGGTTAGTCTTGAAGAACTGATCAAAGAGCCAAAAATGAAAATGCATAAGACATTCTGTGGTCGAGACTGCTAGATCTCCATCAAATTCTATTCTTCTCTTTTTCCTGGCTGCATGGCTGCCCAGCTAGATGACACTTCTTTGCCCTCCTTGCAATTAAGTCACTGCTGGCTACTTCTCAGCAATGAATGTTGTGGTCTAGTTCCAAAGACCTGGCCTTAAGATATGGGGTGTACCTCTGCCACTCCCTGTTTCTCTGAAACCTGGAAGAGGTGGTGACTTGACTGAATCATGCAGACAACATTAATGCCCTAGAGGCTGGGGGAGCCACGAGATGAAAGGGACCCACATCTCTACCTCATGGAGAGACACTGACCCTGTCACTGAACTGAGATGAGCAGTAAGATGGCTGTTAAGTGAGAGAGAAATAAACTTCTGTATTCTTCAAGCCACTTAACCTTACAGCAAAAAATAGCAACTCTGTTATAGCAGCTTAACCCTTACCCCATTAAATACAGCTTTAACAAGTATATTTGATTTGGAAAGAACCACTAATTGGTCTGTACTTTAAACCAGATGACAGCTTGACAGATATTTAAGAGGCAAGCCCAAGGAGGTAGGGCTAGCACCCAAAGAATAGAGCAGGTCAGCAGTCAGCTAAGAGCAAGGCATCGGCCATGTTAGTTGGATTTGCAATTAAGCAGCTGATGAGCTTTACAAAGCAGTTTAGGTGGCATAAGTCTTTAAGGTCTGGAGGATAGAATGGAGACAGCAAGAGTTGAAGGGAAGCGAAAGAGAAATCTGTAAGGTAACCAAGTACAACAGGTTACAGTCGCATATGCACCTGAGTTGTGACTAACAAGACAGATTTCTATTACTCACTAAAAGTAACTGACTACCTACATTAGAGACAATATTATCTCTGATAGTCACACATCAATATGGGCAAGAATATCCCACAATTTAGAAATATCACAAAACAATGTTACAATTTGCTAAAAACAAAGCACAAATATAGATTCTTAATCATTATTGTCTATAGTATAAATTTACACTCTTTACTCCTCAAAACCTCCCAAACTCTCTTACCCTGTTTCCCAGGATTCTACTAAATGAACACTCGACTTTAGCCACACTAGTCTGTTCATCAGTCCTGAAACATGACTTAAAATTTCCTGCCTTGACTTCCACTCATGTTACTCTGATCCTAAAGTATCTCTCTCCATTCCTATTCAAGAATCTGAATCCTACCCAGTGGTGTGATGGTAAGTATTTAACAGCAGGTTTTCTAGGTAGGGGGGGCCTGATTTGTAGCATTGCTGATTTCCATGGCATAAATACTTCCATCATGGCTGATTTCAAGCCACTAATATAATGTCACTGAACGAAGAGGTGAGAAGAAATGCATAAAATTGGCTCTCAGCAGTCAGTACACACATGCTCCACATCACTGAATTCCTACCCACCCTTCACGGCCTAACCTGTTTTACCTACTCTGTGCCACCTCCCAATATGCCCTCAGTAACTCTATAGATATGCCTTCCTCTAAAAGCTAGCATATATAATCTCTGCTACTTCTTTGGTACGGTCATAGGCTGATTACTACCTTGTATTATTGATTATCTTTTTTTTTCAGGTTTTGCTCCTCCAAGTAGATTGTAAACTCTATGAGGGCATGAATCATTTCTTATAATGCACAACACCTAGCATAGTGCCTTGTGCCAGCAGGTGGCCAGTTCCTGTCTGTTCATTCCTTTCCCTCCTTTCAAGGAAAGTTAAGACTGTCCTAGGATCAAGAAGGAAAAATTACTCAAACTGAGAAGGGTAAATGACAGAAAACTTTCTTTAAAATGGATTGGAATGAAGAAAGGGGGTAAAAGTGGACAGCTGAGTTCAAAAGGAAAAATAGCATCAGCCTAGAAAACGGCTATTCACAAACCTTTACTTCCACACATATATGTATCTATGTCAAACCATTAGAGAGGAAATGCAATAGGTAGATGTGTGGTATAACAGACAAAGCACTGGATTAGAAACCAGGTTTAGTTCTAGCTATGCAACTATCTACCTTGGTAACAGTCTGTTACCAAGTCACTTAACCTCAATGACATTAGTTTTACTATCTGCTAAATGAGAGGTAGATATGATGATCAGTCCTAAAATGGTTAGAAACAATGGGAGGTATCCAAGTGGGGAAGTCAGAATTTGTTTGAATTTTGTTGTAGAAATATTCTGTTAAAATAATAATAAAAAGAGCTGAAAACATATAGCAAGAAATACTGCCAGAGGATTGCCAAGCTAGTGTCTTGAAATTGTACCATAAATTGTGTATGTGTGTTTAGGCGGAAGGAGATAGAAGAGGAGTGGGTAAAGTACCAGAAATGGTTCCCTGTTCTTAACTATGCCCACAAATCCATATACAATTTAAGAGAAGTACAAGGAGGAAACTGTAATGATAAAAATGAGCATACTTTAATAATACGTATCAGATACTGAATGCTTAATATTTTCGCAGGTACTGCGCTATTTATTTTATACGCATCATCTTATCATATTAACAGCCTTGTGTAGTTATTATCTGCAATTTACTAATGAAGAACCTGAGCCTGATTCCAAAGCCTCAGTTGTTAATTGATGGAAAGGGATGACAGAAGATAGAACAGGAAGAGATATCAATTTTTTTGTGATTTGTTTTCAACGTATTCTCTTGATATTTTAGGGAAATCAAGAGAATGAGTGGAGAGGGTCTAAACTCAAGAAGGGGAGGGAACAATCCGTTTAGTTCACAGGAGTCTTCTCAGCTCCCAGACAGCGCTTGGAACACGCTGTCTAAACAGAAATTTTGGTTGCTGAGGTATTTCAGTAGCCATTTCAGGTGGTGCTCTCAACCCTGGTTTCATCCGTTTTCCTGAACACTTCAGTGCTGTGCACTGTTCTGAGTAGGACTGATATTTAAGATGGCATGCTTATTCGCTAGAGGGATTAATGGTCTTTTTTGAGCAAGCCAAAACAAAGGAAATGTCACCCAAATTCCTCAGCTGTAAAATAGGGTTCTGGGATTCTTAAAGTCACATCCACATCAGAAAGTTGGATTTCAATCACACAGAAAGCTGGATTCGTTCTCCCTGCTCCTCTGGTTAACATGCGTGTGTGTGTGTGCGTGTGTAAACTTGGAGCTTCTTGAAATTGAGAACTCTGAGCTTGTGTTAACGTGTGTGTGTATAAACTTGGAGCTTCTTGAAATTGAGTGAGAACCCTGCGTATGTGTTAATGTGTGTGTGTGCGTAAACCTGGAGGTTCTTGAAATTGAGTGAGAACCCTGCCCCGCACCTTAGGCCGGCAGCAGTTTCCTCTAGTTCTCTTCACCTGCCACCTAAGACTTGACTTGGCTCCGCCCCGCCCCCAGGCAAGCGAGAGAAACCAAGCGACGCGGCTGGGCTGCTGGGAAAAGGCTTCACCCAGGATTACCCCAGAAGGGCTTGGGCTGCGGTTAACCGAACCTCTCGCGCCCGGTGCAGCCTCCCTTTCTCAGGGAGACTGAGGAGCGGCCAGACCCAACTAGGCCACGTAATCATTCCGGGCCCACCCGCTCAGTGTCTCCAGTCCCGGCCGCGCTCTCTCCTGGGCGCGGTGCGGCTCCTGAGGGCCGGCTACTCACCATGGCGGCAGGCGGCAGGCGGCAGGCGGCAGCCTAAAGGAACGCGAGTGGCCAGGCGGTGGCCCGCCAAGTCTGGGATAGCCGAGGATAGCTGGACCACAGAAGACGGGGAGGGAGGGTAGGTTGTTTAGAAGCCTCTGGTTGCTAACGGAAACCGAGGCACGTGGACTGCAATCATGCATTTTCATTGGTCCTGAGGATCACGCGACAGGAAGTATTGCGTAACCGGTTGACTGCCACCTGCGCATTGGCTTCCAGGGCCGGAAGTCCCACCTTTTTGTGCCACGTTCACCTTTGGGAGCTGAGTGCCGTTGCAGAAGGTAACCGGAGGGCTGTGCTTCCTGGAGCTACCTGGGGCCGCCACCGCGCTTGCGCGCTTCGGGGCATCGGCTTATGGATTGTTGGGAAGTTCTCATCCAAAACTTCCTGTGGCCTAGGCGACCCCAAGGGTGCAATGGACATCCCAGACCTTTCAGTGGTCTCATAGGGCGCGGCTCAGACATATTTTTTTTCAGGAGTTCCTACCTGAGCATCAGGGTGGCTGAGACAGGCCAACAACACCAACGCCTGCAGATTCTCAAGTACAGCTTCAAACGACCCCTCCCTACGACTCCGCCCGTTATTATTACTGTTGTCGTTGTTGTTATTATCTTCTCTTATATTTCTAGTTAAAAGTCTCTAGCAACCTTTTCCCATTAAAAAAAAAAAAATGCAAAAAGCATGGGTTTTCTCCAAGAGCAGTGAATTTCAAAAGGTTCCATATGCCTGGAACCACTATGGAAGCTTGTTGAGCAAATTCCTGGGCCTCATCTCCAGAAATTCTGATTCACAAGTCTAACTTGGGTCCTTGGGATCTGCGGTTTTTAACCGATGTTCCAGGAGTGATCACAGATCAGGACCACTCTTAGAAACGCTGGCTTGGAAGGACAAGAGTAGGATGAGATCTATTATTGCAAATACCAGGGACTCAGAGTCCTTCACTCAGATGATCCAGAGGTGATGTGCAGGCATTTGCCCACAGAAGGATCTCAAGCCTTGGGTCAAGAACAGTAAGCAAGGTTCTCCTGTGTGTCACCTGGAGCACTCCAAGGCATGGAAGGATGGCCTGGAGGCAGTGGCGTGGGTATGCCCAACTTCACCTTTGGCTAGGCTCCCTATCCTTGGCACTGCAATGGCATTTGGGCAGAATCCCTGTCTTCTTGCAAGATTCCTAAGGGCAGATTCTCTCAACCCTGCATATTAACCCCTTCCAAGCTCAGTTAAACTTCCCCTTTACCATCCCACCTCCCCATTTCTGTTTGGTGAGTGTCGTTGAATTTGATAACAATGGTTGCCACTATTTAGTGCCTATTATGAGCTATTAATAGACACATTCCATTCCAGTAGTTAATCCTCATAATACTTGGTTCTTTCCTCTGTAGACATTCGTTGTGTTCACATAGTGAGAGGGTCACTTTACAAGGTGTTGTGGGTGTGAGATGAAGTTCACAAAAACTTTTATGACTGATCAGTAAACAAAGTCGTTCATCAGTTCGCATTGCTGAAAAGCTCGTTTATTTTCTCACAGGCCAAATCCTGTGCTTGCGAAGTGTTATTAATTCAGGGGAAGGAAAGGAGTGTGTGTATAATGCAAATATTACATTTGTGGTTTGGGGATTTTTAAAGTTGTTCTGCAAAACTCCATCAGCTGGTTATTGTAATATAAAATTCTGCTTTAATCTAAAATCTTCCATACCAAGGAGATTATCACCGTTAGCCAATCTACCCAACAGAGTTGAATGTTGTTACATAAGCTGTCTAACTAGTGACAGCAAATGTGAACATGTATTTTTGGTCTTAAAGTAATGAATTTGGCTCATGAAAAGGCTGAACTTGTACTTCAGGTTGTTTACTAGTGTGGGTTGGTCACCAAAGCAAACAATTCGAGCCGTGAGGGAGAACAGCTCCACCCTACTTTACTAGTGATCTTCTTAGGCTCTGTTTTTATTTTTTTTTAATTGCTGTGACAGTTTTTTAAAATGCGTATATGTGTGAGTGTATGTGTGTGTGTGAATCTGGAGGGAGGTACACAAGTCCATTTTGTACCTTTTAGCAGTGTTCAACATAAATAAAATGAAGATAAATTTTTTGTATATTATTATGAAATGAGACTCTTATAACTTTATAAGTTACCAGTCATAATACTAGGACCACCAATTTCAGGGTGTTTGCAACCTAGACTTGGCAAAAGGAGGAATGGGAAGCTGATCATGGCCTCCTCAGGGATGTCAACAGATTCACTCATTCTGCCACTATTTACAGAACCCCTGTTGTGTGCAAAGTTCTGTGGCCATGATAGTGAGTCTGGGTAAAAAATCTGAGGGGGAAATCTGAGGGAAGAAGTGGAGGGACTCAGAAAGCCCCAGCTGCCCCCACACTATAAATTTTTGGGGGGTGTGGGGGGACTACGGTGAGGCTTTACTTAAGTAGAAACAGGAAATGAAGAAAATGATTAAGTAAAAAAAATATATATAAGTGATACACAGAAAATGTAAAAATCTTGAAGGTTATATGGGAAAGAGAAAAGTTTGAGAAATACCGAACTGGTAGTAGGTGGAAAATAGGGGAAATCATTTAGGAGATTATTCTTAAGAAGACAGAATCTTTGCAGCATGACTTCTTGCATGAAATTCTACCATACAAGTTCTCTTCAACTTCCCCATCTTGCCACATCTTGGCTACTGAGAAAGTAGCCAAGATCTTGTAGAAGAGAATGGCCAAGATTAAAGGGCTCTTTACAGGAGATATAGCATTTGAGTAGGCCTGCAGTAGGCAAGAGGCTATTTTCTGTTGCTTTCAAAATACCTTAATGATCGGCAGAGTATTGGAGAGTGCTGACAAATTAAATTAGTGAAATCACTATCACATGCATTAAAGGAGGTCAAACGAGGAAGTGGTTCACCATAAAACACAACTCCCTGGAAGAATGTGTGGATGTTGGCAATTACTTAGCCCGAATTATAGATTAGTTTCACTGATAATCTCAATGCATTAACAACACCCCAAAGGGAACAAACACCAAAACCATCAAAAGGAGAAGCCTACCTCAACAAATGTTGAGAATTGGTTGTGGGGAATACCTTCTTGTAGAGTACAAGAAAAATTATAAAGATGATGATATGCACCAAATCCTCTTTCCATACTCCCTTATGCATATACATTTCAGTTAAACCCACAAGTTCAGTCTGTACATTCAGCAGCTGTTAATGGGAAGCTGGACTCGCAAGACACAATGGGGAAGGGAGCAATGAACAAGATGGGATTGGTCTCTTTCAAAAATGGGCTTATAATCAAGTCAAGGGAGAATTCAAACTTGCAGAATAATTTCAAAGCAGACAGTTAGTAGTAGGGTAGTTCAGAGAGGGTGCGAGATAGTTCACTTCTGTTGAGACTGGAGAGGAGAGATTTAGAAAAGTTTTCCAGAAGGCAGTGGAATTTGGGTTAGGTTTTAACAGGAGTGTGGAAAAGTTGTGGGTGAGTGTGATGATTGTGAAATTGAGAGTTGTCCTGAACAGGGAACCCAAATTTTCATCAGGTGCTGCAGTAGAAGTGTCCAGAGATGTACATTTAGATTTATTATTATTACAAGTGGCAAACTACAAAAAGAGATATACTGACAGCTTATACAAGGGTGGAGCACCTTTAAGAAGAGTGTCTTATTCAGAAATGTGGATCTTCCTAGATCTGTGGTCTTCAATAAATGTTTCCCTGGACTGTTGTCAATGTAAGGGTATTCACCGATTGCATTTCATCATAGAAAATGGAAACAAAAAATCAAATTTGCTCAGGAAGTTTTGCCTACAAAGCCAGGGCTGTGTAGTCCTATTGGAAGAGCTGAATAGCCTAGTGCAAGCTGTGTTCATGACTGGAAGTTTTCTCAGTGAGATGGATAAATAATATATGAAAAATAAAGTGAACTCAAACGGAAATGTCATTCTTAGCCAACTTATATGAGTTTGTTTTCCCCACTACTATATTGCAAGCTCCTTGAAGGAAGAAATATTGATTATATAATAACATAGTATGGCTGGCCTTTAATAAGCTCTGAGCTATGCTTGCAAAATTGAATTGGAGATAAACAGGAACATCTCAACAAACATTTGTGAATTCCTACTGGGTTCCAGATACTGTGTTTGTGGGTTGCTTTTGGCCCCGGACATGCCCTCTTTTAGAAAGCATATCATAAGGCAGCAGACATATTCAGCTATCCCTATTTCCCATGTTAAATGTAACTTTGAGGTGATTTATATAACTTTTAGGAGTTTCTGAGAATGAATTATTTAGTTCTCATGACTTAACCCTTGTGTTTTTATATAACTACTGATTGAATTCTAGTTGACTTAATGCTACATTTTGAAGACATCCCATAAAACAATTACTAATTTATAGGTTTCTTTTTATATTTTGAGCCCAAGCATTTACAGTTGTTCCTTGAACAACACAAGGGATAGTGCTGTGGACCCCATGCACGGTCAAAAATCCACATATAACTTTTGACTCCCCTGAAAGTGAACTACTAATAGACTGCTGTTGACTGGAATCTTTACCAATAACATAAATAGTTCATGAGCATATATTATGCATTATATGTATTATATACTATATTCTTTCAGTAAAGTAAGCTAGAGAAAAGAAAATACTAGAAAATCATCAGGAAGAGAAAATATATTTACTATTCATTAAGTGGAAGTGGATCATCATAAAAGTCTTCATTTTGAATAGGTTGAGGAGGAAGAGGAAGCAGAGAGGTTGGTCTTACTGTCTCAGGGGTGGCAGAGGAGAAAGAGTTGGAGGAGGTGGAAGGGGAGTCAGGAGAGAAAGCACACTTAGTGTAACTTTATGGACATACATAATTTCCATCTGACTTTTTATTTTTTGTTTATCTAAAAATGTTTTTATATGGTACCAGTCCTTTCACCATTTGCGTGTTTCAGTGCCTGTATAATAGAAAGGTCCATGTCATAAAAGAAGTTAAAATCAGTCTTGGATAATTGAAACCCTTCTTCCAGATTGTCTAATGTCAATGTATTTTCTGGCACTACTTCTACGTCTTATCATTTGTTACTGGTTCAGAAGCACTCATCTCCATCAACTTGTGTTCAGCTAATTCATCTGGTGTGGTGTCTATTAGCTCTTAAATCTTTCTCCAA